GCCCCCGCCCACCCCCCTCTCCCGACTGAGAGTGTTAGTTTATAACTGAGTCACCCTGCTCCCTCCTTCAAGTTTCCTCTCTTACAGTACCTGCTCCTCCAAATGCACATGCGTGCATGTGTGCGTATCATGCTATATGGCTTACTCATCTCATCATTTAAATTCCCCCCCTTTCTCCTCCTGTGACTTTCTCTCCAGCTATGAGCTTCCTGCCATTGCAATCATTTATTTACTCAGCCTGTCACACTCTTTCTTCCCAGCCTGGTCTCTTACTCACTGATTCTGTCTGATTTTATGAAGCTTACACAAGAACGGAGCGCCTGCTGCAGATATCTCTATCTGCAACTGCATGTTTCTGTTGGGCTCATTCGGAGCTTTGACGTGTGCAATTGCACGTGTACAGTCGACGCGCGTTAAGGAGTCGGAAAACATTCACAATGTTATTGCTCGTTCGTCATTTTCAAATGAGCTTTGCACGCACAGCCCATGTCACTTATGCAACTGTATGCATCACAGATATCCACCCTCATGCCCAGAGACATCACTCTCTCTGTCAACGCACATACACACAAATGTGTCTTTGGGTGCAGGCCTTTCTAAATAAGAGAGTGTGACAGGCAGAAAGAGAGCGAGAGAGGACTTCCATGGATGGCTGAGATGTGTCTGAAAATGAAAACAGTCAAGGAAAAGGTCAATGCAGTCCTTCTCCACGTCTCTCCTAGTTGTAATGTTTTCATTTGTTTTAAGTGGCACTCCTTCAAATATGTCAGGACATTGGGTATACAAGTGTGTTTTATTTTATTTTTTCGTATTTTCTTTTGCCACTCATTTTTCCTTATTATACCACCTTGTGGTGAGGTGTGTCATCTATTTCCTGGATGCTTATATCCACTTCTGCGGAGCAATCGGCCTGAACAATTAATTGAATTCAAAATGATTTTGCAATGTAAAAGAATGGAAATTTTCAAATGGAAAATGCTGGAAAACAACAAAAACGACAACAACAACAACAACAACCTCTGCTTTATTTCAGTCGGTCAGCTTAATTGTTTTTACATGTACTGTATATCATGTATTTTTTATTCATTTATTCCGTGCCTAACCCTCCTGTTATCCTCAAATATAAGTAACACATTTTACTCTTGGAGTAATTTTGACTCCAGAGATATTTGGCTCCAGAAAATGATGTACGTGAATTTGTTGACCAATGTTTAGGGTCAAGCACTTAGTTTATTTGTTGAATACCCCCTTGATAATATAACTAACTTATTAGGAGTTGACACGCCCTCCAGCTCCACCATCTGGTCAAACTTTTAAATTAGAATGAATGTATCTGAAAAGGTTTTCATACAAATCTGATATTTTTCGACAACATTAATAGTCACGAGAGGATGAAAGCTATTGGTTTTGGTGATGAAATGACCTTTCCTGTAGTGCCACCATCAAGTCAAAAATTTGATTTTAGAGTTACGGTCTTGAAAACCTTTCATCTAATTATTTTCTCATTTGGGGTGTGCATTCATCGCTGCAGCAGCTGTTGATGCTTTTATAAAGCACCGTCTTTTCTCAATTTGAGGTTTAACCAATGCATACCTATCTGTTCCAGAAAAGTTCTCCTTCCATATTTTGATGCCATATTGGCAGGTTTGCTTGGCAGCTATTGTCAAAATGGACAGCATCCACGAAATGCAACCAAGCACTCATCAACATTCACGTGAGGGCCTGGATTGTATCATATTATCTTTCCACTTTTGGAAGGCATCGCGTCCGCTGGTGGTTGAGAGTCAAAACTTTCATTCATTGGATGAGAATGCCTCAAAATCAGGGTCCTCCTCAACACAATCCTCTGTCTCAGATGCATTCTCCTCTGTATCACTTTGATTGGCGAAGAGCTGTTCCAATACCTCATGGACAGTCAACCTTTTTCTAGAGGACATTTTCACATGAGAAAGCATGCTGATTTCAGTCCACATTGAGCACAACGTGGAATGATTTGGGAATAACGGACACTTGTGCAAGCTTCTATATGTTTGCTCCGCCCTTATTTTGAATGAACTACCAATGTCCTTGTGGGAAACTATCAAATTTCTCGCAGAAATAGTTATTTTCCCCACCCCCTGTAATGTATCAACTCAAGAGTATGAACTCTGTACATACAAGTGTGGAGAAGATGTTAGTTGACAGACACACAGACAATTTTTCTGCAGCTAAAACAGCTTGGGGTGAAATTGACCCCTGAGGATCGCCAATGCGTGCAATATGTGTTCAGGACATTGAAAAAAAAGCATTATGATGATGTCATGCTTAATCAGTTGCCCCCATCAAATCAGGAAAAGTCATGAAATATGGAGCAAAAAAAGGCAACTATTATATTTTTGAATGATGAACATTGTAGGGGGTCAAATTGACCCAGAGAGTAATAGGAGGGTTAAGAAATACAGTCGACATTTTTTACATATCATGGTTTCATGAAACATGAAAAGTTGACATGATAAAATCACAGATCAGAATCCATTTGCCTTTATGCTAGCATAACGCTTACCTATTCGACCAAAACATTTATGTGTGATAAATGTGATATTATTGATTGAAATAAAGATTAATATGTTGCTTATGTTTGTTTAAAAATATATTGTATGAAAAGAGGACCTTGAAAAAATAATAATCGCATTTTAAAAGGCATTGGCAATACTGAGGAAAAAGATATTTTTCAAAATTGTTCAGGCCTACGCAGCAGTTAACAATGTTGACCGCTGAGAGAGAGGAATTGTCCTCTTGGGCTTTAATTCCGGGCCAGTAGACCTATGTATGCTCTGTGACAGTGTGTATTTGGATGCCATATTGGCAGGTTTGCTTGGCAGCTATTGTCAAAATGGACAGCATCCACGAAATGCAACCAAGCACTCATCAACATTCACGTGAGGGCCTGGATTGTATCATATTATCTTTCCACTTTTGGAAGGCATCGCGTCCGCTGGTGGTTGAGAGTCAAAACTTTCATTCATTGGATGAGAATGCCTCAAAATCAGGGTCCTCCTCAACACAATCCTCTGTCTCAGATGCATTCTCCTCTGTATCACTTTGATTGGCGAAGAGCTGTTCCAATACCTCATGGACAGTCAACCTTTTTCTAGAGGACATTTTCACATGAGAAAGCATGCTGATTTCAGTCCACATTGAGCACAACGTGGAATGATTTGGGAATAACGGACACTTGTGCAAGCTTCTATATGTTTGCTCCGCCCTTATTTTGAATGAACTACCAATGTCCTTGTGGGAAACTATCAAATTTCTCGCAGAAATAGTTATTTTCCCCACCCCCTGTAATGTATCAACTCAAGAGTATGAACTCTGTACATACAAGTGTGGAGAAGATGTTAGTTGACAGACACACAGACAATTTTTCTGCAGCTAAAACAGCTTGGGGTGAAATTGACCCCTGAGGATCGCCAATGCGTGCAATATGTGTTCAGGACATTGAAAAAAAAGCATTATGATGATGTCATGCTTAATCAGTTGCCCCCATCAAATCAGGAAAAGTCATGAAATATGGAGCAAAAAAAGGCAACTATTATATTTTTGAATGATGAACATTGTAGGGGGTCAAATTGACCCAGAGAGTAATAGGAGGGTTAAGAAATACAGTCGACATTTTTTACATATCATGGTTTCATGAAACATGAAAAGTTGACATGATAAAATCACAGATCAGAATCCATTTGCCTTTATGCTAGCATAACGCTTACCTATTCGACCAAAACATTTATGTGTGATAAATGTGATATTATTGATTGAAATAAAGATTAATATGTTGCTTATGTTTGTTTAAAAATATATTGTATGAAAAGAGGACCTTGAAAAAATAATAATCGCATTTTAAAAGGCATTGGCAATACTGAGGAAAAAGATATTTTTCAAAATTGTTCAGGCCTACGCAGCAGTTAACAATGTTGACCGCTGAGAGAGAGGAATTGTCCTCTTGGGCTTTAATTCCGGGCCAGTAGACCTATGTATGCTCTGTGACAGTGTGTATGTGCCACAATGGTTAATCCGAGCTATATAGGTAGACACACACACACGCACGCACGCGCGCGCGCGCGCACACACACACACACACACACACACACACACACACACACACACACACACACACACCTGAGCACTTGTGACAAAACTAACATGTATGCTTTGGCTAGCTGTCCTTGGCTGTTGTTGTTGTGTACTGCTCCGACACTGACCTTTTACCTTCACAGCTTTAAAGCCAAGCTGCATGTCACCTGTATACCTTATGATCAGATTTACATGATGGGGTCACACACACTTCGCTAAAACCAACAGTGGAAGCAGCCCAATCAGGCTTTGACATAGTGTCGACATAACGGAAGTGAGCTGACACAAATACCGTAGCTGCATGACTGCGTCCTACTTCAAAGCAACTTGATGGCGAGAATGATGGAAGTTCAGCTTTGGTTGAGATTGAAATACATCACATGCATTCATAAGATGGCATATAGACAGACTAACAGTCTCCACATATGTCGCTCCCACGTGAGCCCCTGGTCACCTCCACTAAAGCCAGACACCAATAATACTTGCAAATGCTGCACTGTTCTCTTGTGTGGGCCCAATTCGAACACAAAATGACCTTTGTTGGTCACCTTCAGACGTGCCTGAGCTTCATCCTGCTCCTCCTCATCATCATCATCCCGCTGATGCCCTTCATCATCCTCACCACATGCATGGCAACAATATCAAGCGTACCACACGAACTGTGCCCACTCGCCTCCAAATTCAACGAGATGGGTTCAAGGTGCGCCACTAACCTATGCCCCCCACCCCGCACCCACCCTCACCGCAAGGTTACCGGGCCCACGCTTCACGGCGGCTCTGGCCGGAGATGATTACCGGATCAAACCGACACTC